CCTCTCTTTCTGCCCCTTCCCGGCTTATGCTTGACTCACTCCTGCTCTCTTTCTCTCTGTCAAAATAAATAAATGAACATTAAACACAAAAAGAAACGTAATATGAGCTGCGTATGCAGCGTTACTTTCTAGTAGCCCACGTGAGAGCCACTTAGAATCTTTTATTCATCAAGTTACGAGTTCAGTGTGTAATCGACATCAGCCGTTGTCAGAGAGATCTTTCCCTCTCTGTGTAAAGTCTATGCCCACCGTCCATCTCAGACTGGTCCAGTCACATCTCAGGTGCTTCGTAGCCGCGTGTGGCCCGTGGCTCCTGTACCACGTGGTGTGGCTCTGACGCGTTTCGGCGCCTGCGTGAGTGTGCAGGCATCCGAGCGCTGGCGCCTGCGTCAGGCCACAGGGGGGCCTTTCGCTCTTGTCCCAGAGGAAGCAGAAGCCGCCACCTTCCAGCTCCCACCAAACGCCAGGCGGGGCGCGAGGCACTCTCTCTGTTGGACTCCGTGCGTGCGGCAGCCCGATGAAGCGGGTGAGGGTGTGCGCCTGCTCTGCTGGTGACAGCGTGTGGCCCGAACAGGCCACGTGACTTGCGTAAAGCGACCCTAGTCGGCGTGGGGTGGGCTGGCGCCGGGATCTGAGCCCAGGTTTTCCCGCTGCCAGTGGTCGTTTTCCCCACGGACCGTGTGGCTTTCGCGGCGCCTTCAGAAGGGTCACCTGCGGGCTTGCGTCCCGCGTCCCTGTGCTTACGGGCGAGGAGAGGCGGGCTCAGAGGAAGAGGTGCTTCGTGGGGAGAGCCGTGCCTGTGAATTCGGTACTTTGTTCTCAGGATGAGAGCTTACTGAAACATATTCAAACAGGAGCGCCTGGGTGGCTCAGTCGGTGTAGCCTCTGACTCTTGGTTTCATCCCGGGTCATGATCTCACGGTTCTTGGGATCGAGCCCCACGTTGGTCCCTGCGCTGACAGCACAGAGCCTGCTTGGGGTTCTCTCTCTCCTTTTCTCTCTCCAAATAAGTCTAAAAACACCATACTCAACCGGAAGGGCATAAAGCAGCGAGAAAAGTCTCCGTGACCCAGTCCTCAGAGTTAAGCACTCCGTGGGGGGTACATCCATCTAGATTTTTTTCCTCTGTACGTGTGTAATCCGTCCCCTCCCCCTCCAGCAATGGCACCGAAGCGTTCACGTGGTTTCGCAGCCGCTGCCCCCCCCCCCCCCACTTAAGGGTGTCACAAAAGCGGTTCAGGGTTCGGGGTGGGCCCGGCGAGGGGGCCGAGGCCTCGAGAGGCTGGCTCACCGGGGCCTGACGTGCCCCCGCTGTAAGGGCTGAAGATGGCCAGGGCTCGGCTGACAGTCCTTTCATCCCTGGCCAACCTCATCTGACCTCAGGCCGCCTTTTCCCTCTCGTTTCCATGGCAAGTGCTCGTGGAGCAGAGCGGCTCTCTCATCGGGGTGCTCTCTTCCTTTGGTGAAGCCGGTGAACGAACGAACGGGAGCCAGAGCTGTCCCCGTTTCCAAAACGGGCTTCTCGCTGCTGCCGTGGTGTCCTTGTCCTTTTGTGGTCTCTGGAGTCTGTTTATTTTTGGTGACAAAGCTTTCTTAGTAACATTTCCCTCCTTTCTTGTAGTTCCCAGTGACCTGACAGCAGAGGAGCGTCAGGAGCTGGAGAACATCCGGCGGAGAAAGCAGGAGCTGCTGGCCGACATTCAGGTAGGCGGTGCCAGCAGTGACACGTGCGGTGTGACAGGTGTCCTTCCCAGAGCCTCCTCACCAGGTGTCGGGAGTTGACCCCCCCCACCGGCCCGGGGCCGAGCCTCGTTACTGATGGTCACTTTGGCTCCGCCCATGACAAAGTAGACTCTTCGAGGGGTTGGGAAGGCCCCGCCCGGCCGGTCCGCCGTCCTAGGTGACCCCCAAGTGGAGCCCGCGCTGCCGCGTGGGGTGTGGGTGAGGCTCAGGTGCTTGGAACACCGACCTCAGGTCAGGCCCGGACCCGCGTCTGGTTCTGGCGCTGCCTCTTTCTGGAGGAGTGACTCAGACACAAGGATCCGGGCTCTTTGAACTTGACAACGAAGATGCGGTTGATAGGTTGCTGTGAGGGTTGAATGAGGTCCTGCTCACCCGGGACTTAGCGTGGCTGCGGGTCCCTAGGAGACGCCTAGGCAGCCATGGCTGCTTCACCAGAGTGTTTCCAAGCTGTAACCGCCACACTTTGTAGAAGTAAGTCATAGGGGCGCCTGGGTGGCTCAGTCGGTTAAGCGGCCGACTT